CGATTTCTATTGAGGATGCCTTGCTTTTATAACATCCACAGTCACCCAGTTTAAAATGAGCAAGTACAAGCAAGGACAATCAGCACCCTGCTCCATGAAGTTACACTGGCTGGCCAGCACCTCTGAATTCAATTTGATCACCACACCAGGGTCTCACACATAATATTCCATGTGCATAGATCTGTGTCTCTGTCAAGATGCCTGTTGGCCTCTGAGCTACAGCTTCTGTGTCCACTCACATGACATTTCCAAAAGCTATCCCAAATGAAACAGCAGCGGCCTTTCTTTTTCTCCCAATGTCATAATTACTTTTCTATTGCCATGACTAAACACCATGACCAAGAAAACTTATAAAAGAAAGTGCTGAATGGTGTTCAGGGTCCCAGAGGGACCAACATGACCAACATGAAAGGGAGCATGGTAGCTGGCAGGCATGGTGGTTGGAGCAGTATTGAGAACTTACAACTAATCCACAATCATGAGGCAGGAAGAGAGAGAAGAAGAGAGAGAGAGAGAGAGAGAAACATACACAGAAAGATACAGAGAGAGAAACAGACAGACAGACAGGCAGGCAGAGTTAATTTGTGAAGGGTGTGGCTTTTGAAACCGCAGAGAAACACACAAAGACAGACACAGACAGACAGGCAGGCAGGCAAGCAGACAGAGTTAACTTGTGAACGGTGTGGCTTTTGAAACCAAGAAGCCACCTTAGTGACACACTTCCTCCAACAAGGCCACACCTCCCAAGGCTCCCTAAATAGCCCCTAATTAGCTGGGGACTAGGCAATCAGATGTGTGAGACTATAAAGGTCTTTCTGATAGAATACTGGCTTTGTGAGAAGAGGGTAAGAGACACCAGGTGGTATGTTTCCTTTCCCTTTCTTGTCCTCTGTGACCCTCTAATATCAGATAACATAACTAGAAGGCACTTGCCAGATGCTTTTAGATTCCCTGAGTCAAGAACTGAGACAAAAAAAAAAAAAAAAAAAAAATCACTGTTCTTTATTAAATACCAGTTATCAGGTACTTTGTTACAACAGCAGATGATGGCCTGACAGTGTGGTCTCAGCTCATATTAGTTTTTATTATTTAATTTTTTTATAATCACAATTAATGTATGCCCGTGTGCTCATACAGGCACACATATAAATGTGCAGGGAGGTTGGAAGGTACCTTGCAGGATACAGTTCTCTTCTTTAGCCACATGGTTCTCACAGACCAAACTCAAGTCATCATGGTTGCTAGCCTGCATCTTATCTTGCAGAGATACCTTGTTATCCCCACTTGTTTATAATTAGCCATTTTGAGGTCTTTAAAGAAAATCCATACTGGACTTGGAGCGATGGTTCAGTGGTTAAGAGCCTGCACTGGTCTTGTAGACGATCTGAGTTCAGCTCCTGGTACCATGCCAGGTAGCTCACAGCCACCTGCGACTCCAGAGGATCTAATGCCCTCTTTTGGTTACTACCAGTACTTACAATAGCATGTGCGCCCCACCCCCAACAAACACACACATATGTGATACATACTTTAAAAGTAAAATTCTTTTAAAAAATATCCTTTTGGAAGACAGACGAGTGACCTTGTTAACTGGAAAGTGACTTGGAGCAATAGACAGTGGAACCACTAACCAGTGATTAATGTGGAACGATCCTTTAGTTTCCAGTGAGGCCAGAAGGGCAGGGGTCCAGAATACAGCAGGACCCAGCCACAGCTCACGTCTGCTGCCCTTCTTCCCTGTGAGGTGCTACTACCAAGAGGATTCAAGAGAAGCTGATAAGGAATCAGGTACAAAGAATCTTTAAATCAGACATCTAGGAGTTAAATGATTTTGACATTGGTGTGAAGGATGAAGGAAAGCACGAAGAAAGGATGGCTACCTTGGGCAGAAGATTCCAGGGTTACTTGAGAAATATGGAGGAGTTCAGAGTAGCCTCTCAACTCTGGACAAGCAGACTGGTAGGGCAAATGATCACTGATGGACAGTCAGGCAGTTTCTTCACAGGGACATCTATAAGAAGGAGCGAAGGTGAAACTCAGCCTGGGCTCTGTTCCCTAAGCTGGCTTCCTGCTATGGGGCTGCATCTGCTTAAAGGTACCTTTCCTAATTTGCACAGTCACTGCGCACATGTGCAGTGGTCCTGAGAAAGCCTTTGTGTTGCTCCAAGCATATGATCTGCAGATAAGGCCTCTTCTCTGACAGGCAAGTATGATCTCTCTTTGCTGTTAGGTAGCAATAGGTACCCCAATAGATGTCTGAGAGGCCAGCCCTTCATATGAGACTGTTTGTGTAAACACATCCCTTAGGAAAAGCCGGTCAGACAGACACTTCTGGCTTGGATAGTCCTGGTTTTTACAAGCACCATATACATTCAGCTGAGCATGGAAAGAGTATTATTTTTGTGATTCAGGCACTAGGTTAGGAAATGAGGTCAGAAGAGGTTGTGAAGTGGGGATGGATCTCCTTTTCCTTTGTTACTGTTACGTGATGTTCTTATTGATCTGTGCTTCGAGTGAGCGACTGGAGCTCTTGGTTTGTGACTAAAACGTCCAGAAAGTTAGGAAGAAAGAATAGAAAGCATGGTAAGAAGATAATATAGAAATGCTTGAAAAATGTTAACCCACAAAAGTTTTATCTGGGACAATGATACATACAATGTGCACAATGGCTCCTTTTTCTTGAGAACGGTGGATTCACTGAATGATTCCAAAAGGGAAAAATGGAAAAACAACAAAAACAAATAAACAAAAAAAACCACACAAACAAATAAAAAGTCTTGTTGGCATTTTTCTGGCTCTTCAGTTTGATTTTGCTCAATGAGGCTTAATTAATTATTCATTCTTTTTCTTTCTGTTATTAATTTTCTATCTAGTTTAAAAGAGAAAAACAAGAACCCCTTTGCACTAGGTTTTTCAAGACCTGTTATTTTTTTGAACTGTTTTGTTTCCATCCAGTAGCTACATTTTTTTCTCTCTGATTTTTTTTTTTGGGGGGGTACCTTCCTTGCCCTTTTCTCATATATATTGTTTAATTGTGTAGTTCATAGTATTCAATAACTCTGTTCCCAACACACATCAGGGTCAAAATCAGAAAAAAATTCACAAGACTTATTTTTAATTATTTACTTATTTTGAGTCAGGGTCTCATTGTGTAGCTTTGGCTTGACTGGAGCTTGCTAAGTAGACCAGGCTTGCCTTGAACTCACAGAAATCTGCCTCTGTCTCCCAAGGGCTAGGATTAAAGCCATACACCACCACTCCTGCACCACAATGCTTTTAAACATCAAAGTTGGGACAAGTAGTGAACAAGATTTATTGCATCCACCCAACCTTAGTTTTCTGTGCTCAGGGCTGAATAAATTACTCAGGCATTATGAAGATAATTAGGCAAAGAATAACTACCCAGGAGTACCGATTCATGTCTCTCCACGAGTGTCTACTCTCATGCTGCAAGTTTTCAGTAATTATTACAGGCCAGAGGTAAAGAAGAACATAGGGCTAGCGCAGTTAATCCAGCCTTCGTCTAAGCAGCCTTTTCTCTGTAGCTATTTGGAGAGAGGGGGCAGAAAACCCTTCAGAAAGCAGAGCTGTTGTAGAAAGATCTATCATTAAAGGGAAACAACGAAGACTGAAAAGCACACAGCAACCAGAGCTTAGCCTTTTGGCGACTGCCCTTGCCAGAAGCCTTTACTCCATCCACAGATGCTGAAGACAAACCGTGAAGAATCTTGTAAACTTGTTTCAGAAAGCTTGTTTCTGAGTTTGGACCACAGGGACACCAGTTGTGGAATCCCACTGCCCTGAATTCCCAGCTCAGGTCTGTGTCAAGTGCTAAACAAAGCCCAAGCTACACCAAAAAGAATCTTTTATCTACCCAAAGCATCTCCAGCAAGGCCAAGGAAGTCCCACACTGGACAAAGTTTTTGGGGTGGTGGTGATTGAATTGTTCCCACATTGTCTTTTTACTGCTTCCAGGACCTCTTTGCATGGAGTTGTCACCTGGATGCCCCTAAAACAACAACAACAACAACAACAACAACAAAAAACAAACAAAACTGAAAGTTGTCCCTGATGGGTAACTGAATGTCTTTGAAGAAAACAAGGGCTGATTTCTTCCTGCATCTCTCATCTAGGCCCTTTCTCATGCTGAACTCCCAACAGAAAACATTGCTTCCTCTGGCCACGCCCACTGTGTCTCTCTGGGCTTTACAAGTTAGGAAAGATGTCATCTACTACAACCCAAACACTTCCGACATGACACCTGACTTTGGATGCGGTTTAAAGGAGGAATGTCTTGGCTCTGAGGATTTCCATCTGAGGCTCCTTGTGACACGGAGAACAGATCCACTGAAGCAACCACCTCCAAAGCTCTGCACACTAGCACGGTGGGGTCACAGGCTACCCTCTGGCTTCGCTGCTTCCTGATCAGTTCTCTGACATTCAGCAAAGAACAACTCTCATTTCTGAGCCAACAGTTCACTTAATCCCAGCTTCTGACCAGTCCTCCTAAAATCAGAGGGCCCGATCACGGTCCTTCCTTGACTCAAATGTACTTCGTCCTTTCCCAAGTCATCATTTTTTTTGTTTGTTTTGTTTTTTGTTTGTTTGTTTTTTAATCTGACACAGTTAGGCAGGGTGTTCTTGCAAGGGCCTTGGACAGGGTCGGGCACGACCAGGAGCATCCGGATATTTTCTTCAATGCTGAAGGATGGACGACTGCCTGCTGTGGCTGGAGAAAGAGAAAATGCTCTCCCTTCCTCCTTTTAAAATCCAAAACCCAGACTCCCCTTGAGATGAGTCCTCTACCTGGCCTCCTCAGCTGGACGGGAAGAGGAAGCATTTTCCGTTGGTCCCTAGCTCCCTAGGGACGCCGCCCAGCTCGCACTCCCCCAGCAAAGCGGAGGATGTGCAGCCAGGCCCAGGGCGGCCCCGCCCCTACACGAACTTGACCGCACCCTCTTCCCCAGCGCGGCCCGGCCTGACGTCACAAGGCACCCAGCCGCCGGCACCCCGCGGTGCGCACCCCGCGCCCCGACCGCTCGCTGCTGCTCTCCGGGCGCTCACCACCCGGCGCGCGCGTGCCCGCTCTTCCTCCTCCCCCTCCCCGTCCCGGTCCCCATCCCCATCCCTGCCAGCAAAGCACCGCTGAAGATGGCGAGCCCGGCGCCCGACGAGCACGCCGCACAAGGATGCCCGGCCCCGGCTACGGAGGAGCAGGCTCCGAGGCCCGGGGTTCCCGGGGAGGAGGCGGCGGTGCGGGACGCAGGGCCGGCGGGCGCGGGGCCGCAGGTGGAGGAGGCCGCGGGCAGGGTGGCCGCCGCCCTGACCTGGCTGCTCGGGGAGCCGGTGCTGTGGCTGGGCTGCCGCGCCGATGAGCTCCTAAGCTGGAAGAGGCCGCTGCGCAGTCTGCTCGCCTTCCTGGGTGCCAACCTGCTGTTCTGGTGAGCGCTTGGGCTGGGTGGGGGCGCCCCGGAGAGCAGGTGACCTTGGGGCGCTCGGAGCTCCGATGTGGCCCGGCTGGGCTGAGCTGGGCGCTGCGGTGGAAGTGACAGCCACCGTCCCACTTGCTTGGTCACCTGTCTGAAACAGGTAGTCACCCGCTTCAACTTCCCTCCAGACGCACTTCCCTGTGAGTGGCTGTCACCCTTGCTGCGGGTGTCCAGTCTCCAAGAAGAGGTGATGGTCAGCTGACCCACGTGCTCCTGTATTTAGGGATGTTCCAGAGCTCTTGAAAACTTCGGCCTTGGTATTGTCAACTCGCAAGTCTTGACCTGTATTTCCAAGTATGAGTGTACAGAGGAGGCCCTTGGACTTGAATTAATTTTTGCACACACATATCTGAGGCATATCTGGACCAGCTTAGATACACTCCTATACACTGCTGCCCTCAGCAGCCACCAGAGATGGGCCGTGAATGGTTAGTTTTTCCCTCCCTAGAGGGTAAGGTTTACTGCCTTTGCTCCCAAATGAGAAAGCAGGAGGTAAACAAACAGGTGGATTAGGCACAACACGCCCCGCCCCAAGGCTGCACAAGGGGGAGAGGGGAGGGGTTGGAGTGGTGGTGGCAGGAGTAATTTCAGGCGAACTCCAGAGGGAATGTGGGCGAGGGATGTTTTGAATAGCACCCCAGTCAACAGGTTTGCCTCACCAGGAAGTGGTCTCCCTAGGTAAGCATCAGGCAGAGTCTGGCTCCATCGCAGAAGGATGTGTCCTATCGTCTGGTACTAGATCACCAAGGGAGGAGGAAAACCTTTGTCTGCTGAGTGTCTTCATGACAGACATGACCTTCGCAGTTTTTCTAACATATACCTATTTACAGGATGTAGGTTCCTTAATCCCAATGTTGGGAAATAAATAAATGCACAAGAGAGACACAGCCTATCATTTTTTTTTCTAAGTTAACTTGAGGAAAGTGAAGGATTTTCTTTAGATCCCTCCCTGCTAGTCTCGGTTTTCTCCGGAAACGAGCTGGGTCTTGTTGCTGCCTGTGGATGTTAATTAACTTTAGGTCTCTCAGCTATTGCTGTTTCTGGAGTTTATCCCAACGGTCTATCCTATTGTAAAGTTACCTGAGCCCTTAAATAAAGAGGTTATATTATGTTGAGCTAGACTGGGCAGGAAGCCAAGTCTTAGGGCTTGTGTCTCATTTATGTACCAATAAGCAGCGTGTTTTAAATTTTTTGTTTTAAGTTTTATTTACTTAAGAACACCACAGTTCCAAAGTTTGAAGGTACAAAATTGTAAACAATTTGAAAATCTTTTTCCTTTGAAAATCTCTTTCCCACGCCCATCCCCAGATCCTCAGCTTCCTCCCAGAGGCTCCTCCCGCCCCCCTGGGGGCTAGCTCTCTGTGGGGCTGTGTGTGTGGGTGTGGGTGTGGGTGTGTGGTGTTGGGGTTAGATAGTGCCCGTCTCAGCAGAAGCACTGCTTGCTGTGCAGGCTGTAGGCTGGCACAGTAAGGATTCCTCGTTTAAGGGTGGGTGCCTTGTTGAGCCCTCCTTGTTTCTCCAGTTCATAGATTCCTTTCTCAGATGTCTCAGAACATTGGACCTGCCTCCTAAGGAAGCTCGGACACGTGCATTTTGAGTGCGATAGCCAAGTCTTATAACGTGTACCGCTTTGTATATATGAAAACACTTTATAAGATGATTCCCACAAGTGAAACTGTTGAGTCAGAGGGCATGTGTCCTTGTCCTTTTAATGGCTGTCACTGTACTGTCCTTAGGGTTCTACCAGATTATTTGCCCACCAACAGTGAGTGTGACCGCATGGTCCTCTATGCTCTTGCCAAAAAGGTTTTGAAAGAAGTTTTAATCTTATAAATCTAGTAGGTGCAAAGGGTATTTTGGTATGGTTTTAAATTTGCACTTGTGTGAGACTGAATGTTTTTTCTTGTATTCAAGGCCACCATAATTATCTTTTTTCTGCAGTGCCTATTTACCTAAACAACTCTGGTCTATTTCTTCATTTTAGACAATGATCTTCTTATTGACTTACTGGAGCTCTTTTTATAGGATGGGTTTTAGCATCATTAATGTAAAGAGTTGCAAACACTTCCCTATGATGTATTCTTGCATATGTGTATGTGTGTGTGTGTAAGGGGTGTGTGTGTGGGAGTTTATGTGTGTTCTTGTTTACATCTATGTGTGTGCACTTAGTAGAGGCCAGAGGCCCTCTTTAATTGCTCTCCTTAGTTTGTTTTTTTCAACAGGCTTTCTCACTAAACCCAAAGCTCATAAATATGGCTGGATTGGTTGGTCATTGAGCTTCAGGAATCTGCCTGCCTTTAGCCCTGGAGTTACAGAAACATGCTGTCATTCCCGGCTTTGATGTGGTGCTAGGGATCTGATCTCGGGTCTTCCTGCTAGTGTGGCAGGCCTGTTCCTGACTGAGCCACTTCTCTAGCCTCCCTATGACATATCTGTCAGAACAACTGTTGGAACTTTTTTTTGTATAAATAATTATAAACTATATTTAATATTTTTCATGAGTATTGTCTCCCATCCATCTTATTTATCACTTTGATGGAAGACAAACAGTGGCTGGTTGGAATCTTATTTATTTTATTTTTCCTGTTTGCAGTAGCTGGATTCCATGCAGGCATTTTCTCTAACAAATAACCATTCTGCTCTCAGAATTCAGAAGCTCTTGCTGCTTTTGTGTTATAATCCATTGGACTTCACAACTCCTTTATTAATGCCATAATGTTTTTGAAATCTTCCTTACTTGTTTATTTGGGGTTAAACTATGCTTTTCACAGCCTAAAACTTAAAATACAAGCTAGACTGTCTTCTCAAATGATCTGATCGTTGTTTTCAGTCCTTCCTTCTTTTTTTTTTTTTCTCAAAAAAACCAAACCAAAACAAAACAAAACAAAACAGGGTTTCTCTAGGGTGTAGCCCTAGCTGAACTTCACTCTGTAGACCAGGCTGGCCTCAAACTTACAGAGATTTGACTGCCTTTGCCTCTTGAGTGCTGGGATTAAAAGCATGAACCACCACTGTCCAACTTTTTTTTTTTTTTTAATAAAAACATGTTATTATTCTGTTACCCAAACTGGTCTCAAACTCATGACAATTCCCCTGCCTCAGCTTCTTAAGTATTAAGACTAAAGGTGTGACCCATCATTCCTGGTTATAGATGACTTAATTTGGTTCTTTAATATTCTATGTCCCTAGAATGCTAAAGCTTTTGTTTTATATGAAAAAAAATTAAGTCAATATGTTAAAATATAATAGGCTATAGAATGAGAACTTGACTCAAAACAAAAGAAAAACCCAAATCTTAGCATAAGTGGTGGGATGCTTCATTCATTATTGCTGCTGTCCCAATCTTGTGGAAGTTAACTTTGTAAATACAGTTTGCATGATTTAATGTCTGCTACTAACAATTGCTTTGAGGATTTTGAATTTGACTCGGAAAATTTGACATTGATTACCCGGCCAGGACCTGCAGTAGTTAGTGCATTGGAACCTGGGGATTGAAGCAGGTCCCGGAGAGTTAGGCTGTCTCCAGTATGCATTCAGCAAACACATGGAAAGTTTGAGGAAGGGTAATTTGCTCACGTTGTGATGGTCTGGGTGGGACAGAGTCGTTGTGGATGGGAGAGACTTAGGATCTTCATGGATTGTGCTGAAACTGGACCTTGGTGAACAGGGGTGGTTTTAGTAGGTCTTGGACCTGGACAACTGTAAGGGATACACTGAATGAAAAAAGACATCTCAAAGGCATACTCAACATTACATCTACAGCTCAGTGTGGTGGAGAAAAAAGCACCAAGGAAACTAAAGGCAGGTGAGGTTGGCTAGGTGTTGTGGGGATATATTTCTTGTCAGAAATGCTATGCTTAGTGTTTGGACTTAATTTTTAATTAAGAAGGACAATAAAAATGACCTGCGAAGTGTGCATAAATATTAAAATTGGGCAAACAAAGTGGTGTTCCTCTATTCCCACCACAAACAGCTGCATAGCTTGAAAATAAACAATGGGTACAGGCAATAGTACAGATGAGCTTTACAAGTGTAGTTTTGGGATCCAAGAAACACAAAGTGGCATGCGCAACTGCTGGCTCTCTGGATGCTGCACAATGACTTAATTTACAGTTCTAAGATGTGTGAAAGTGACCCAAACTGACCTAGGGACACACACATAGGAGATAAAACCACAGGCATAGCATTCTTTAATCGGACACACATCCACAGTCTTATGGGTTATGTGCTTATATACTTGCATTTTCCATAAGTATATAAGAAATGACAAAAAACAGATCTTCAGTCATTTTGTGGAGAAGTATGACTAAATGTAAGCTGCATGTAATGCCAGTCTCCAGGATCAAGGTTTCCACAGCGGAAACAAACTGAGCCACAGTTCAGGAGTCCTGGAGCTGTACAAGGCTTCAGAAAACACGATCTCACTCATTTAACTTACAAGGAGTATGTTTTCAAAATGATCCTTCTTGATTTTTAAAACAACTAATATAACATCATAATTTCAGAGATTAAAAAGGAGAAAAGGATAAGCATTGTAGAACTCTTTCCCATCATGCCTGGCAACCCGGCCTCCTCACAAGGGCAGCTAGGGTTACAGTTTAAACACAGCTTGAAGTGAACCAGTGAAACAGAAGTGACAGTTTACTTTTTAAGAGATGTCTTAATTTCTAAGTGTGTGTGTAGGGGTTGTATGTGCGTGTGAACACATGTGCCTGTAGAGGTCAGAGGTCACTGAATCCCCTAGAGCTTGAGTAACGGGAGGTTGTGAGTCACCTTAAGTGTGTGCTGGGAACTGAACTCAGGTCCTGTGCAAGGGCCACAAGTGCTCTTAACTCCTGAGCCATATCTCCAGCTGAATGCTTTTAGTTTTAAAGAATCATTTTTAAAAAATTTATACTAAGAAGAAGATATTGTATGTGCATAGTTAAATATATACACGTGTATCTGTGTGT